CACACACACACACACGCACACACACACACACACACACACACACACACACATATATATATACATATATATTCGCTCGATGTATGTTATATGTGGATGGCTCAGAGGGCGATGCCCGTGTGGTTACTACTATATTTATAGATATTCACGCATAAAAGGATATGCAATATCCTGACACCCTTCTCTTCTCTTTCTCTTTCTCTTCCGCTCATGTCAGGCATCATCGGAAGAGATTCCTTCTGAAGTAAACATGGGCGGCAAGGGCTACTCTCTGGCCTTCGATCCCTTGGATGGGTCTAGTATCATCGATAGCAACTTCACCGTGGCGACTATATGGGGTATAACTATATATGTATATATATATATACGGTTTTGCATGCATACACATCCATACAGGAGTCATTCTAGCTCGTTCTATTCCCAGTGTACATGTAGACATGTTGTTGTGTGTCAGTACAAATGGCACAGGGTTCTTCATTGTGTCTGTGTACTGCTCTGTAGTCTACGGACGAGTGTTTTAACTGTGAATGTATGCTTTGTATAAAGCACAACCATCGTATTTCGTATAGATTCATAGGCACACATGTATATTGGTTGATCAGAGATTCAATGGTACAAATTTTGTGATAGCTCTCCATCACAAATATGGATGTATAGGTAGATACATCTCCTCCTATGCTTGCACACGCATATGTATATACATACACTACAACAGTCAATAATCACTTTGAATACACTTTTCAATCATGTGTGAGTGTATTGCATACACGTTCATGGACTATCGCATCATGATAATATATTTGTACTTGTATACAAATCAAAGGTAGTAGATACAACCCACCTATCGTCGCAGTTGATGACCCGGCACAAACTAGTCAAGATATTGATTGGATATGACACCTGCTAGTGCCACCATTTATGGGAAAATTATCGAATGAGCACAAACCGGTTATACGAGTCGACGAATCATTTGAATCGGTATAAAGTATATCTATTGTAGGATTGTGGCTTAGATTGGCATCTGATAGACTACCCTCCTTCTCTTAGGATGTTGGCCTGGTTCAACGCTGGTGGGTGTAGATGGACGGTCCATGACCTCCGCAGGTGTCACTCTGTATGGGCCTCGTACCACCATGACCCTGGCTGTCAGTGAGGCAGAGCACAGCCACGAGTTCCTGCTGACCGAGAAGGTGTGTGGGCATGTCGAGTTCACTGCAAGGCTATAGCAGATGTATGTACAAGTTCGAGGTCACCGTGTCTTCGTAGGTAGTGTTTGTGTATGCCTAAAAAATTCCGCATACTTTTATATGTGTGTGTGGGGGGGTGATAGTATTTATACGTATGGATGGCGACATCGTTGGGATGATCACATGCTGTACCCGTTTGAAATGCGGAAGAACGATGCTATGTATGCACAGGCGGGTACACAAAAACACACCATGGATATATACAAAGCACATACACATAGTAGATCCGTGGTACAAGTCTTGTACCAGCCACATATCCATAGAAAGCCTTACGTACAATCCAGGAACATACATACGCCACAGATGCATATAACCAGGCGGTGGGAGGCACCTTCCGAACACAAAGGGACACTATCGTAGTGTATCATATGTGCGAGCACAAAGCATTCGGAGGGTCAGAGCGAAGTACTGCTGACTGGGCAACGTGCCCCCTATCACGCACATCACAGTCAGGCAGGCGAGGCTCATATGTCTTAATAACTCACCTGTACTCTGGAAATCTCAGCGCCAAAAGGGAGTCAGTCTTAGCTCCGGAGAAGCAGAATACATGCCGGCTTCGGAAACTTCTCTCGGAATATAGCATGGGCACGCAATATTGTAGCAGCTTTACGCTGCGATCCATACCAGTCTACATCCCAACACACAGACAACCAAAGTGTCATCAAGACCGCACTTAGTTCCAAGTACACCTAAGGGACTCAAACATATAGACATCCGCCATCACTATGTCCAAGACTGTGCTCGCCGCCACAGGCTCAACCTCCACTACACCATCACTCACGAGAACCCAACGCACCGGTTCAAAAATCACACGCTCTCGAATACTTACACAAAACACTCACTCAGGGCTGGGAAAGAGTTAATACCTACAGCGTGATTGGGGAGGGCAAACTGCATGCGCCCGGGAATCTCAGGTAACTAAGCAAACCGTATTCATTGGTGTCACAGTTCACTTACTCACACTGTATGTGTTCCTATGCAGCGTGTTGCATATACTTGATCGCTACTGACATTTACGTAGGGTCAAGGCCCTTTCTTTCATCTATAGAGTTGTCTGTCGCGTCATACATTGGTCAAGTGTTTAGAATGTACCGATGTTGTACTGATTTCGAGGGCCTACATAGAACGCTAAGAATTCGGCGCAAGCTGACTAGTGGCTGGTATACCTAGATCAACAGATATGGCACATTATAATGTGGTACCAATCTACAGAGCGAACGAATAGCGCTCTGTGGGAACTTATTGGCCAAGGCTACTTGAGTCACCACCAAACCAGCGCAGACATCGACAAGTGAATCGTAAACACTTCACTATGGTTACCAGCAGTAGCACAAGTGTACTATACACACTTCACTATAATTGCCAGCAGTAGTACGAGAGGCACAATATCGTCATACATGGCTGGAAATCGTCATACATGGCCAGAATATTGTCGTACATGTCTATGAAGTAGTTGTCATGTCGTCGGGACGGCTGCCAACCACAGGTACATGTAAACAGGTAGCACCTCTCTGATAGCGACCTAAATAAATTTGCTTATTGTCCACTTTTCTTCTGCCATCTCGATGTTGTGATCCGCAGGGCGATCAAAGACAATGCCGGATACGCTGAGCTAGTTCAGTACTGGCAGGTATGTGTTTGCACCATTACATAACCAGGTAAGGCCTCGTTTAGTACTCGTGTGTGTGGCCGAAATTCATCACAATCATTTCTCTGATTCCGCTGAATGGGACCACAAGAGCGAGGGACATTCCACGAGTATTTTTTAGACATTCCACGAGTATTTTTTTAGCATCTATATGTAGTGCTTCGGTAGTGTTGCAGTAGCCTGTGCTAGTCGATGCATACTATGGATTGTGTAATCTTAGTCCAAAAATGACTGTCAGAGGTGATTAACCCTTATATGTGGCCGGTTTGTGTACTTTGTAGCAGCTCTGCGAGGATTTGTCGCTGCCGGTGTGTGGGCGTTGTGGTACACCGTTTGTGTATGTATCTTTGTAAATAGTCTATAAATAGTCTACATCACTGTCTGTGTCAATACTGTCACCTAAGACGTCGTCACATGTCCCCGTTTCTACTGCGGCGTTTTCGACTCCTCTACTTAGTCGAGTAGTGATCCATAACCCAACATATGCCATTTAAGGATAGTAATAGGGCATATCAACAGTCGAACATACGCACCTGCGATTTGGTGATGGGTTCATCCCCGTAACTTACCAATAACACAACACACTAATCGTACATGCATCGCACGGCCACACCGGACACTTGACCGCCGCAGGATAACACATACCAGCTGAGATATACCGGTGGAATGGCTCCCGATGTGCTCCAGCTGCTTGTAAAGGTAAGCAAGCACCTTCACACAAGTGTGTCGTACGCTACTCGAATTGTCTTCATGGATTGGTGATAGCTTATGCTTGGTACTGTTATAATTCGAATTGTCTTCATGGATTGGTGATGGTGTATGCTTGGTACTGTTTTAATATATTTATAGAAATAGGCATGGTCATTCTTGTTTGCGTTTCACTGTCAGGTTTTATACACAACGAATCCCATCGAGTCTAACAGAATTTATCGTTAATGTCTTGTTGTACTACGGCTGCGGCGCTCAATTGTCATCCTGTCGTTCCACTCAATTCAAATCATGCTATTTATCAACGTGCACGTGATTGTACATACATATATGTATGCATATTATATACATATATACGTATATAT